AGATCGTGAATAAGCATTCACAAGAGGGGGCGAAATGGAGAGAGAGAGAGAGAGAGAGGGAACAGTTCAAAGGGGGAGGGGACATGGGGGCCAGGAAAGCGCACGTCGCCTCGTTGATTGGAGCACCATTCGGGATGATGAGTCGGGACTGAGGGGAGAGAGATTGTCGTTAGGCTCACGGAGCAGGGGGAGGGGGGGGGGAGCGCAGACTGGCAAAAGGGGGGGGGTACAGGAACTTACGCGGCTTGGGGTGCGCAGATTGTCGGCAAGGAGCGGAGCCGAGGGGGACTCCGAGGCGCCAGGGCCGGCTCCGGGAAGCGATGCGTGGCGCAGAGGGCTTGGTGACACGGCCAGGTGCGAGGCGGTCACCGATCCCAGCAGGCCAGGAACGCCGTAGCGCTTTGGCGACATGCCAGTGAGCTCATTAAATTCAAACCTACAGGAGAGGGACCGGCAAAAGAGACAGAGAGAGAGAGAGTTAGACAGGGTCATGAGCCGAGGTAGAAGAGCGGCACCCAGGCAGGGCCAGGGAGGAAACCAGGCAGCGGACACATACTCGGAGGAGGCCGCCGAGGTCCGACTGATGCGCAGGCGCTTGGCGGACATGGCGATTGCAAAGAAGCCGGAGGGTGGAGGCGCGAGAGAGACGAGCAGGGCACAAGCAGCAAATGGGGATGGAGTTCTGGGAGAGGCTGGGGGAGAGGGGACGGAGTCGGGTGCCGAGGCGCGCAGCGCGCCAAGATCCGCACGCCCCCCGATTGGGCACCCAAAAGTAACTGGCCGCGCTGCACCATCCTCGGGGGGTCCCCATTCACACCCCCCCCCCCCCCCCCCCCCTCTCCCCCCCCCCCCCCCCCCCCCCCCCCCCCCCCCCCCCCCCCCCCCCCCCCCCCCCCCCCCCCCCCTTGCAAACGTTGGTTCCCGGCACACCGGAGGGCCGCGGGGGCGGGGGACGTGGGGCCGGGAGAGAAGGCAGGAGCCTTTTATCGGCCACACTCCCGCCGGCCCCCCCGGGCGCGGCTCCGACCATCATCCCTCATCTTTCCCTCCCCTCCAATCCTCCCTTCCTCCTCCTGAACCTGCCTTTTCCCAATCCCCTCCCTTCCTCCCTCCCCCGCCCTCGCTCCTACTGCCGCGATCACCATGTCCCTCGACGCCGCCGCCATCCAGGGGTTCTTCGCTACCCTCCTGGGTCACTCGGCCTTCGAGGTGCGTCG